TCCAAATAAGTAGTTAATTCTCTTACCGAAAAATCTCAAAAATATACAATCACAGTTTATTTTTATAGTCATTTTATGTTCAAATTTGGACGAAATTACATATTAAAAAACCTAGTTATTTTATTGTGATTATATAATATTATTCGTGGGTACCTACTTGAAACTTCTAAAGTGTACTATTATATATCTATGATAGTATCAGGGTTTGTTATTGATGTTGATGAATAACGTGTTATAAGTACCTAATGGATATTGTGATAATGTGATATGATTAATTTGGAATTTATTATAGGTCAATTTTTTTTTTAATACCATAGATATGTATATAATTTGTCCTAAGCCTAGCCTGACATACCGTCTTCGCTCAGAATTTTTTTTCTTATACAATGATATTGTATCATTGAATTCAAATTTAATAGCATCCATTATACAGTGACCCACTTGTAACCTACTGTACAGCAGAGTGACATCCACTTACCCACCATTTTATCTTCAATTCGAATAAAACTCTAAATTTTTTTTAAACCTATAAATAGCTCGAAAAGAGTTGTAATATTTCGAACATTTTATGGTGTTATAAATTGCTAATATTAACATTCAATTAAAATTGCATGTATCTACGGTTTTTTTTTTTTGAGTAACACTAATAAACAAAATTAATTTTTTTCAAAAACTAATTTCGAGTGATTGCGTATAAACCTCAGTTTCGCCTTAATTTTTTGTTTGTTTTTCCTGATGCTCTTGACAACTATTGGTATTTTTTTTACTTTTGACCCACCAAAGTACAACCTATATTCACTTATCTATTAAAAAAAGATGCTGTTGAAGAAAATGGAAACTCGTTTAGATCATTATAAAATGAATATAACCACTCAGAATCTAAAATTAAAAATATCCAATGTTTTTATATATAGGTACCTAGCACAAAATAAGTAGTCATCATATTTTAAAAATAATATCAACTATAGAAAATGATAAAAAAAACATTTCTATTATCTTTACGGTCATTCAAAATTTAAAAGAGTCTTACATTTCTCAAGGGTTTAAATAACTCAAAAACAGACAAAATATTTTTAAAGTTTTATCATGCACCAATTGCCATTTGTCACACCTATAAACACTTTTTAAAAATATAAAGTAAGTAAGTAACTATTTACTATAGTTATTATAGTTTTTGAATTACAACAATAAAACGAAATCGATTTTATCAAAATAAATAATCCCAGTTTTTCCATATTTTTATTTTGGTGTACTTCGATACTTTTGAAAACAACTAGGATTTTTTATCTTTGACCCCCCTCCCATAATACCAACTTGATTTAGCATCCAGCGAAGATGTTAAGGTAGGAAATTAATGATTTTTTTACTGCATCAAAAGGTGATGTCAGAGAATGGTGGGCAAGTTAATGAAAATAATTAACTGTGGCAAGTTAAGTTAATTCAATTAAATTGCCTTCAGTTAAGTTAAAAGTTAACGAAGAAAAAAATTAAAATAGTTAAGTTTAAAGTTATGATAGAAAATAAAATTAACTTATCTCAGTTAAAAATTTTTTTTCAAGGTACAATATTTTTAAATCATAAACTCTCATAGTATTTTGTTATACACAAACATTTACCAAAACGTTTAACACTTTGTAAAAAATTAGATTATTATAATATATTATTAGAAAATAAATGACCAAAATCGTAAAAGAGTCGACGAATTAGTATTGTCTAGTTGATTAGGTATGACTTGAAAAGAAAATTAACTTATCTGCACGACAATGGTAATTAGCTATAAAAAGTTAAGTTACAACAATAACAATTTAAACTGAATAAGTTAATAAGTTAAAAACAAAAAAAATTAACTTATTAAAAACTTTAATATTTTTTCAGGTAGAAAAGTGGATCTGTTGGAACTTTAGAGAGAATAAAATGAATAATTCCCAGAAGTTTTCAAAAGTCAGAAAAAATAACGAAGGAAAAACTAGGATATTTACGTAAAATAAGTTTTTAACAAAATTGATGTAACAAAAAATCTAATAACTGTAAATAGATACTTCAAATCTTCACAGAAAGTTTATATTACCATTTTATATACACCATTAAATGTTCAAAATATTTTTATTCATTTTGAGCTATTTATAAATATAAGAAAATGAGTTTTTAGTTTTTTTTTTAATTATTGTCGATATAAAAATTTCGCTCAGCCAAAATACTAGACATTTCAATACAAGTCTTTGTTACTGAATGGAAGTTAATTATAAAAAAAAATGAGAGTAAATCGACAATAATTAGAGTTTAAAGCTAGAATTTTGATAAAATTCGTTAAAATCACGAAATTTTGGAGTTAGAATTGGTAGGATTATTTCTAGTTAGAAATTAATAAAAATATTTTTATTTATATCCAAGATTTAAAATTGTAGAAGAAGATTCATTATAAATTGTCTTACCTTGAACAAAAAAAGCTTACTAACTTATTAAAGTCAAACTAATTTTTTATGATTGATTAAAGTTATAGATTTTCGACATTGGATTTTCAGCCGTTAATTAACGAATTCTCATTATCTTATTTTCTTATATTTCGATAACGAATAAACTGTAAATAGGTACCTAACATTTTCAGCAAATGTTAATTTGATCATTTTCTATAGATAATTAACTTTTCTAAATATTTTACTTGTTTTGAACTTTTTATAAACATTTTCAATTTTTTTAGTTTTTCCTAAAAATGTCAAAACATTTTTTTTTTCAAAAAGCTTCAAAATGTAATACAAGGGTTATTTCTATTAAGTTGTTATAATAGCTAAATTATATTGATGATACATAGGCACGATTTTTTTTATAAATATTTAAAGTTTAAATTTGAAAAAATTCGTCAAAATTACAAATTGATTTGTAATAATTTATAAAATTTTCAGTTTTTATAACTAAGAATTGAAAATATGAAACAACGTATCTCATAAGTAGTTCATACTGTTACCGAAAAATCTAAAATAAAATAGAAACATGGTTATTTTATTCCTATTTTATGTCAAAATTGGACAAAATTAGATATTTAAACAAAGAACAACGATCTTGGTAGGTAATTTCTATGTAATTTAAAAATATACCATGTATCTATTTTATTTTAGATTTTTTGGTAACAGTATGAACCACCTCAAGGACACCTGGGATCAAATCAAAGCAGCCGACATCAGGAATAGCCGTATACAGGAACGCCGGTAGAACAGCACAATCAGATGTACCTGGACACCATCAAGCCACTTCACGCAACCCGTCATTATACACTACTGCGACAAGCTTATACACCGCTACCACGAGATTATACACATTTATACTATAATAATACTGCATTTCACATTATTGTTCTAAAATTGTCTACTCTTTTATTACAAAGCATCATATTTCTGGATCCCTGAAAGGCTGCACGTAACACTCCTAAGTCAGAAAAATAGGAAAAAATATTGATTTTGTAAAAATATCGTTAGACGTAATGATTTACATGTGTATAAAATATGACCAGTCCAAATTTCACTAAAAAAAGAAACGCGATTAGTAGCGGTCAGCGACCCGTTTTATCCTCAACTCTCCACAACACCGATTTTGATAGGTAGGACAACGAAAATCAACGACTGAAGACGTCAAAGCAGACCTTTGCGAAACATGCAAATTTATAAGATTTGTGCCTATACAATAGAATTATATGTTTGTTGACAATACGGTTAGTTGTGACTTGTGAAGTTGTATAGTAAAATTATTATACTTGTTTGTGGTGAGTGGAGACCAAGTAGAAAAAGAAAAAGTAATATTTGTACCTATACCTATATTGAACCCCTTAACGAATTTCCTAAGCTACCGTGTGAAAGCATTTATTATTAGATTATAATATGATTTAAATGTCCGGTATAGACAATCAAATTGTGTTTAGCATATAATTATAATCAACA